CACGACGCATGACATTACTAAGACAGAGAAAGAAGAGGAGTGATCTAACAAACTAAAACCGGTGAATGAATTGACTATGGTTTTGTGCTCACCGATTGCTTCTCTGCCCTGCCCTTGTGCAATTATACAATAGGTGTGAATATATTTTTGGGCCGGCTGAGTATGATTACCCAAACGGTCAATAAATACGTCGAGTACAGAAGGATCCAGAAACTCATCGATAGAGGCGTTACAGCGGATCTGATTTACGACATGGATACCACGGGTGATGGAGAAATAGACCTATTGGAGTTCTCACTCGGGTTTCTAATCAGGTATGCAATTGTGAATAGCTTGCGCGGGAGCAGATATACACGGTTATATTTTCAGTCGTGTGGGTCAGCACAAATTGATAAAATTGGCATTCGGCATAATACACCGACCGTAATTGGCCGTGTGTTGAAATGTTCGTGGCAATAGGTATCAGTAGTGAGTGGAGTTTTCAAATGAACGGGTGGGCGTAACGTAAAGGTTGTCTAAATTTATCACCTTCGTATCGCCAAACACTATTTTGGCGGCATGTTTCCGATCCCTACGTGTGGTACACTCCAATAGAATGAGAGAGAATTCAAAATAATAGACAGTAAGCTATTGTAGTGAGATTCATGTACCTAGAACTCGCTAAAACAATCAAACGCTTGTTTTTTTGTGCATTCTAACAGAATGGGAAAAATCAATGAGAGAGATGTTACGCGACTCAGGGTCCTCTTCAAGAAGTTGGATAAAGACGGCGACGGTAAACTGGGGTAAGTAAAGCTCATAACCAGCTTGTCTGTTCTTGAATAGCAGTCACTTGTGACTGCTACTCGTTTAAACTATTTTACAAAACTACTTGGTTTGTCTAATCATTTGATACACGGGCGTGCAATTCCTGGTGCGATACTAAACAACGGACATCCCATGATGCCCTTACTAATCGCCTGCAGATACACAGACTTCACTAATGACGAAGAGAAAAAGAGGATGGAACTCAGGTATTTGTCGCTGTCAACTGCGACAGAAACAGCGGACGGTGAGCGGATGCACAAGGTCGACAGTGTCGACTCGATAATCGAAGGCAAAAACGGCGAATGCGTAGAACGAAACGCCACAGATCAAACCACACCAACAAGTCATGGGTTGGACCCAATCGAAGCACGCGGGGATGGCTGTGAATAATATTACTCACAATGTTATGTAAAAAAACCGCCCAAACCATAATTCGAAACATACGACAATAAAATCATGTATAAAAGTGGTTTAATTCCGTATACTATGTGCATGTGGAATAGGTGGTAACGTGGTCGTAAGGCGGTAATAATCGTACAAAACTTTTATAAATTCCACTTTTATATGTGCATATATATATGTCTAAATCGGTATGCAGTCCAGAATACATACATATCACTATAAATTTATATATATATATATAAATATAAATATATATATATATATATGTATACGCAGACATATACATGTATATATGCGTATCCGTATACATATACATACC